GCCTCTCTCTGATGTTAAATTGAAGGCTTCTAAAGGCCAACTTTTCTGATATTTCCCTTTCTGAATGTAAAAGGAAAAAAACGCACCAGATGACGTCGTCAGAGAACCAGTCGCAGAGAAAACTTGTATTCCGGATAATAATGACTGGAACCTTCTGTTTGCAGGCGCCAATATGTGCCCTACCTATGCCTTGATAGATGCCACGGGGCAAGTTCAGATTAATCACATCTTAGATGACAGATCCTCAATGTTTAAGACCGTGGCTAGAGCTATCATTCAAGGCACGAGGCTTCTCTGTAAAAGCACAACCGAAATGTTTATCGTTACTATCGTAGGGTATTTGTATATCCATCGGTCACATAACCTTTGTAAAATCTTCCGGACTCGACCACTTACGAAAATCAAATGTAAAATTTTTTGGGTACGAAGCCATGTTGGTACCTTAGGAAACGAACGTTTTGTCTTTGCAGCCAAAACTGCAGTTTCCGCATCATTAATTGCAAATGGCGCAACCGAAAAGTTGCACCTTCAAGGAAAATATATATTTGCATAGAAGGTAGTCAAAAAGCCGACTATCATTCACACTGCTCGCCTATTAATCGTAACCTTGCTGTACCGACCGTTGTATCCAACCAATCAGGTTATCAGGGCATTTACAATGATTCGTCTTGGTCATACATTAACAACACGGCAGTGGATCCTTATGAAACATAACACTATATCACTAAAGTAGTTCATGTAACTGCATTCAAACGATTAGACTAATCCTCTAGCTTGTTTCGTTTTTTATATGCAGCCAATGGCCAATGGTTGTTAGTACTCGTCTTACTTTAGCCCAACAATTCTTTTTTTTTAAATTTATATACACATTATGTATATATATATATATTTTAATTACAATAACAACAACAATAAGAAGATAAAAATTAATAAAATACTTATTATTATTATTATGTATATTGCATTTAGATCAAATTACCGGACCAAAAGTAAGGCAAACAATAGCAACTACGACAATTGGCTCTTAAAAAAAAGGAAAACAACATTACATATATGATATACCTATGCATATATATATGTTATATTTACATATACACATATATATGTAAAAAGATCAAATATCTATATATACATGTCTATAACGACAATCAAGACTAATCGCTGACTTTGTTAAGGCTCGTGTTCACATTGAATGTTCTCTACTCGTGTACGTAATGGCAGAGCGCCTCTATTTTGCTTAACTTTCCCTAGTGTTTGAATTTTATATCTTTCAAAAAGTTTACCTAATGTGTATATATATGACTTATTATTTTCTCATTCATCAGAAAACCAATTAAAAAAGGTCTTTGGCTCAAGACCGACCCATGGTTTCTATGAAGTAAAATCAATTTCGCTTTTTTCGATATAAGCTTTGCATTCGCAATTGTTTCACCGTTCGCACGTTTGCATGTGAAAAAGGTATAAACTAGTACCTAATAAGTGGAAATTAAAATTTATGCAAACCTTGCAGGAAAACATTTATTGCAGAATATAAATAACGAATTTGGACAGTTTCATAGGAACCGCACATGTTGCTGATCAATTTTGCTTTCCTTGACCGAAACACCGGCACAGAGGAATCGCAAGATCGTAAGAAGAAAAATGCTGTACGCTTGGAAGTAATTTCCGGAGTTTATTTCATTTCGACGGATATCGTCTATCAGGTTTTCGTCGTTCTGTACCAGAACAGAAGCCAGGCCACACAGAAACTTATCAAATTGAAGTCTCCAACGACAAGAGGGCATGGCATTTGACAGTTTTAGAGATCGCACTTAACCTTAACTTTGACCGATCAACTGTTAGGAGCAGCGGGGATAATAAATAAGTTTAATTGTCGCTACAAATCTACTGCTTAATTGTCCACGAACTAATGTGTGCTTATGTAAGGTTCAACTACAGAAAATATTTTCTTTATTGGAAAGTCGCTTCAAATTGAAAAGAAGCGACCTGTGCGTTTAACATATTCGAAGGCATATGAACTAAGGTAAAGATATTTCACAATTGCATTTACACGCATCTACACATCCGAATGTTTGCATATAAATAAAACCAATCAGCGGGAGTAAAATTCAAAATCTTTGTATTGCTGATGACGGCTCTTTTAAAAAAAAAAAGGAAAAGAGTTTACATGGCTGTTCTTTTTTTTTCTTCTAAAGATTGTGGTTTCCCAAGAAAACCAGTACGTTTTGTTATGTGCGTTATTTATTGCGTTAAAAATGTACTCTAATGGGATTAACACACCCATACAATTAGTTGGAAAAAAGAGACAAGCAAAACGAAAAAGGCAGCCACTCAATCAGTCGGTAGCTTGTTTGCGAATACACATATACTTATACGTACATGTTACATGCGTGAGTGCGAATGTCTGACTAACGATTTGTTTATGGCTGCAGTAGGTTTGTGTGTGAATGAGTGCTCATGATTACCATGATTTAAAATTTGTTTTGGCAAAATTGCTTTCCATTTTAACAAACACACGTGGCTATCTGCATACCGCTACTAAGAATTGTTAGCGGAGTTTTAAGCCAACTAACTCAATGCATATAATAATAATTACTTCATTTTCAAAATAAAATTTTGTCTTGACTTCTCTTTTTTTTTTCTTTTTTTTTTTTTACAAAGAATTCATGCAAAAGTCACGGGATATGAGGAACGCCCTCATATCTACTTTTTTTTTATGACAAGTCTCTTTGGAGTGAATTTCTATGAATTTTCCAAGATTCATTAAATATGTATGTATATGCATAAATATGTATAAATGCACGTACATGTTTCTCAATTTCTTGTTTAATGTTAAATGATGACAAAAGTTTTTTGAATCATTCACTAACTACATCTCGCACATGACCATCAAAGTTATTTCGTTTAATTGTTTGTCTTAAGCTCAACTGCATAGAAATTTCGTTTTTCTTTTCTTTTTTTTTTTTATAAATATATGTACATAAGCTTAAGTACATATAAAGAAGCTCCTCCTCACTTTTGATATAATTGTATGTGTAATTGAAGTACTCATATATGTATAAAAATTGTAGGGATAATACAGCAGTGAAAACCACCCAAATGACTTGGTTGCCGTAACGTTAACTGCAAGCCACCTAAAGTTGATGAAACCAACGCTTAACAAGCAACCAATAAGATGTCAGTATGTACAGAAAATTCAAATTGAAGCATTATAATGCATATATATGTACACGTACATGCATATTCGCATGTAAAGCCATAAGCGACCAACAGATGACATGAAACAAAAGTTACCTTAAAATCATCTCAAAGAAATTCCTTTACATAAACATGGATTTTATTTTTGCTTTTACTTATCATACAGAAACTGTGTTATCGACGTAACGTTTCGTTGCCACAATGTTCCAATAATTTATGTCGAAACTGCGCAGGTCTTAATTAATCGTAATTGTCAACCAATCCAAATAATAAATACCTCCACCAATCGTGCATTGAAAGATAAAATGTTTCGTTTCCCGATGTTTCCGATTGAGAGAAATATAAATAATTGCAATGCAATGAACGTTAAAATAAAAACAAAATTTTTAGCATAAATAGGTTAAAACTAAAAATTCGATGAATTTTTAATTAACTTTCAATTTAACATTTTCTATTAGATAGCAATTGTTTAGACTTCATACTCCTTGGAGTTTCATAGTTCAATTCTTTGGTGATTTATATACAAACATACATATATATATAAAATGTATATAAAATATGGGCAAACTTATAGCGAGACGAGTGGGAATAATACGTTTTGTGTACTCCCAATTCTCTCGGCACTTTACAAGTAATATGGGAAGGGGTGTGAACAATAAAATCTATCTCTTTTATTCATTAGATTTTAAGGCACATTTAATATCTCTTTTCCACCTTAACACGGTGAACCGGAGAGAATGAAAATCTTAATATCTAAGGGACTTAGTGCTGCTGTTGCTTATAATAATATCGATGGTGGTGGTTAATGCTTCGGCGATAGTAGTGTTTGTTGTTAGTTCAGATTGTTTTTTTTTTTTTTCTTTTTGTTCTTCTTCTTCTTCTACCATAACGTTACACTTGAGGCCAAACCTCTACTCGAAAAAAAGGATGGTATGTGTGTGTGTGTGTGTGCTTGTATGTGAATGTTGTTTGTCTGCTTGTGAACAAATGCGCAGATCTCTCGATGGATTCGTTCGACGTGTGTGTCGTTGCGCATAAAGGCGAGTGTGTAGCATAGTATGGCAGTGATCTGAGTAAAACCCACCATAGAATTGCTTAAAGTAAACTTGCCAGACACTTGAGAGTGCCTTCAGTTTAGCCAACCTTCCATACCCTGATATGCTGATATTTTCACTTTTTTTTATATTCTGCTTCTTCTTTTTAACAAAATCGTGTTTTGATACTGATAGACTTGCCTCTTACATTTGAAAACGTCGCAGTTTTAACACTCAGTTACAATGATTGTGTTTGCATTTTACATTGTTATTGCATTATCATCGTCATCTCTGAGACATAACAATAATATTCAGTTGAGCTTAGTTCAGTTCAGTTCCGTTTCGTTTCCGTGCTTCATGTTAATTTATTAGAGTAGTTGTAGAAGTACATCCTTTAGTAGCCGCCTATGTATTGGTGTGCTTCGATAGCATGCTTGCTTGCTGTTGCTATTGCTATTGCTTTTGCTGTTGCTGTTGCTGTTGTGTTGATGTGCAGCTTGTGATTTCGTACTGGTTGTCGTTATGGTGCTTGCTCTGACTTACTTACTAAACTAGAGCCGCGCACAATATTGTCGTTCATAACATCACACTGCGGGATTCAGTTGGGGTTTAACAGCCACTCGGGACGGTAGATCGCGCTTATAAAATTGTGTTACTCTTACCAATAAAAATAATAATAAAAATAATGATAACAAAACATACACGTACACACATTCGATAATAAAGAAAATATTGATGTTTATATGGTAATCATATAAAAGCAAAAAAAAAAAAAAAAAAAAAAAAAAAAATATGCACGAGAAACACATAGCAAAAAATAAGTTCAAAATTCTCTAGAGTAAATTGGTAACGAAATCCAAACGTTCACAACAATAGCAAGAGCAACAGTAAATTTGTATTGAATTGATATTTTTGATCCGAAATCTCTACGGTGCCAGTCTTTAGCTAAAAATCTTATAGTGTTTGCGGGCGCGCTTGTGTCGATGTGTGTGTGTGTGTGTGTGTGTGTGTGCGCGCATAAGGAAATTAAAGAAGAATAGTAATAAATAAGTAAATACGACTTACATGCTACAGTGGATTAGTGTGTTATTTGAAGCCTAAATTCGTGTGTCATTGTGTTACCGTGTTTTTGCAATTTATTGTTAGTGTTCAATCTATTTGTTCGTGTTTTGTTTTTTTTTTCTTAAGACGTTGTTTACAAATCCATTTTCAAACTGCGTTCCGACGAGCCTGTGCCGGGCTTCAGCTCGGCCTCACCATGGCCTACGCTCGATTTAGAATGGGGTCGCAAACTATATCCCACGGCTGCTCCACGGACAGCCAGTGGCTTAACTATGTTCGGTTTACCACCAACGGCGGCCGATATGAATCAACCACGCGGACCCATGACCTCGTTAAAAGAAGAACCATTAGGCGCTCGCGCTTGGATGCAGCCGGTGGTTGATCAAAGCAAGTACGTATTGTCTTCAATTAGAAATTTCATCAGAAATTATTTAATTTATTACTTAATTCAATATATTGGTAGTATTCGCAGATCGAATTAAGTGCATATAAAGAAGATTTTATTTTATTCTGATAGGCCGATGAACTCCATAGGCACTTTCTAGAAAATTCAAGCTTACTTTTTTTGGAAAGTACGTGCTCGTAGTATAACTTCATTTAATTTAATCGACTTAGTATTATGTACTGCACGTCTATATAAAGAAACTAAGCTCTCAGAATTAATGCGATGGCGCATAATTGTGTAATCTACGTTCCAAGGCAGATTGTTCGTTACGTGCCTGCTCTAAACCTGTTTCGTAATTGCGATTCACACTAAGATCCAAGTTCAAAAATACTCCAAGTATTAAGTATGGCTTGTCTTTCCATTAGTCTAAATGGAATTTACAACACTCTATGTTGCTAATGGAAAGTGATCTTTTCAGCTCATCTATAAGACTAAAGTGATATGATAAAAATGCTGCTGAGATAAATCATTTTATTACTTAATAATTATACTTGAAATCAATTTTAATTGATCCCGTTCCGTTGCTTATCAAATTCATTGCTTGTTCATACGTTGCTTGTTTGTGCGCAGTCAATAGGATTGGCCTGTCAGATGACAAGCTTGGGCAGTACCAAAGCATTGGTTTTTGAGCAAACTTTTCATTTGTGTGCCTGTGAGAAAATATTTATTTTAATTTCAATGGTTCACGTCACTTTCTTCGAATTGTATTTATATTTTTGCAAAAATTTGGATCATTGGTCCGCGCAATTTCAAGTGAAGAGACATGGCTTTCTAATCAATACCAACTTTTCAATTGGTTTCTTACTCTTGCGATACGGAACTCGCTTGATTTCAAAACGTTTAAATAGACTAATAGCAGGCTGCCACAACCATTTTTAGTTACATGACTCAAAACTAGTTTGAAAATGGATCCACTAAGTTCGCGAATACCGCTAAAATAGACAACCTACAGCTAGTGAAGATTTAACGTTTAACACGAATCTTTGTTCAAATCACGATTTTGATCGATTGATTGGCTCGTTTAGAAATTCTGAGATTTATGAAATACGCGCATGGGCTGGCCGAGGTTAGAGGTTTAATATAACTTAACATTTCTCCTTGTCATATGGTGCTCTGTGTTTGCTGGTTCTTATGGATAATTCATTTGTGAGATAAAATTTTCAAACTTAAAAAGTGTTCAGCAATTGTTGTATTAATTAAAATTTCTTCTTATGATTCCATTGGAACTCGCATGGAACTCGAGTTTACTACATGTGAAGACGTAAGTAAATATTGTCGCGATGATTTTAAGATTAGCATCTGAGATTATTTTAAAGTTTATAAAGCTATCACATACCGTCACCTTTTCCGTGGCACCAAAAATACCGGCGTTTGTTAAATACTCTCCACGCTCGACTTTAGCTTAACTTGATGCTTTCTTGGTTATATTTAGCTTAACTTGAAAAGTTTCTGTGTGCGAGAATAATAGACTCTTCAACTATTCTATTTTGTCAATCAATAATAGGTTTATTACAGCAAGCAATAGCAATAAACAAATGAGTTTAACGGCACTTCGTTGCAAAATACAAATAGCCTAACTAAGCCAGAGGTGCTTTAGCGTGAGTTTACATTCGCATTCAAATTCATATTAAATATTTTCCTAAACATTTTCGTAACTAAGGACAAAGCGACGGGCTGTTTACAATTCTACGAGTCTTCTTTTGAAAAATTCTTTCTGCCAATTCTTGAATCAATCAAATTTTTCTTCTTCTTAAGATTTGAAATGCTAAATGAAAGTACCGCTACGAGCTACAGGCTTGGACGGCTCCTGCATGCAACTATAAGAAATGAAGCAATAAATCAACGCAAGTTTTGACGGAAAGTAATTTATAATTTTTTTCTATTACGGGCACGATTGTCAGCGAATCAAGGATCCTTTAAGGATCCATCGTCTACACATTTTCTATGTTTAATTTTTTTACTCTGAGTGTTTAAGTAGAACGTTGTAGAACTATTTGCAGCAACTTTCCCTTCGTCACTTCTCTCTGACCGCGACCGTGTTACATGAACAGGGAACATCACCTGAGTGGTTGTGCGAAATTGAAAAAAAAGAAGAAAATTCCAAATTTTTTAATGATCATTACCTTAAAGTTTTGATGTGGGCATGGACCAAAAATAGAAATGATTGAATCCCCGGAATGGCATTTTTAAATTCGCATTTTTGGATGTTATTAGCAGACGAAAATGTATTAGAAGCTCATTATTTTCTTACTTTAAAAAGAAAGGCGTAATAGAGCTAACATAGAAAAAAACTAAATAACATAGAAAAAACTAGATAAAATTACTTAATAAGGCTTAATTCCCATTAACCAAGTCAATAGACAATATCTTAAATCATCGTCCATCTGCTATTCTGCTTGGTATTTTAAGCACATGACCAATGAGCATAAGTCGACGAAATCCTTTTCTCTTATTTTGTTTACATTATCTGGAACTGATAGATGAAAATCTCTCATAACATTGTAAAATCAACTGAAAGTATTTTCCAAGTATCAATGTAAAAAAATGGGCGCAAGAAAATTCTCGATAAATAGTTGAAATGTTTTGAAAACGTTTTTTTTTTTTTTATTTTTGATTTTAATATTGAGTAAAAGAAAAAGTTCGTGGCGTGTTTTCAATCATAATTTTAACGCAATTGTTTCTTACATATTAAATGCACTATATTAAGTAACGCATATGCTGCTTCAATCGACAGCCTCGCCTTGCTGGTAATCGCTATAGAATTTCTTAGATATCCGGACGGCAAATTTAAACTTAGTCAAGTGACTTTCAATTATTTCCAAACTCAAATGAATAAAATACTTTCGCATGAGTATCCAAATATGCAAAAGGTCACGGAAGTTGTCCGTCAGCCTTTAAATCCATGCTTTGTAAATTTATTTACGAAATATTCTGAGAGTAAATCAATAAAAATAAAAAAATACCTATAAAAAGTCACTTATTGCATACTCTGCTTACAGAGGATTGGCATGGCTAACCCCATGTGCTAGGATAACGGCCACGAACTCTTTTCTTGTATCAACATTAAAATTGTAAAGTTTTAAAAAAATTTTTACAAAATATTAGTATAGAAATCTTTAGAGAGCCTTTTTTTGGGCACATTTCAAGATGCGGTCTAGAAAATAACTGTCACGAATTTTCTATTGCCATGAATATGCGTAACTCGCAGTGAACGCTCTTAACTTTGTTTGCTTTCTTTCTTCTTGTCAATCTTAATATGTTTGTATAGGTATCCCTCAAACAAAGCCCATAGAAAGCCGAAACGATAATAACATGAAAAACTCAAGACATATATCGAAAAACAAATTTCCTTTATGCTCTTTCTTTTCAGAGTCTTAAGGACAATAAGAAGAAAAAAAAAAAGAAAAAACAAATGAAAATTCTCTTCGAAATTTGAGTTAATTTTCTATTATCGTACGATTATTTCCCCCCAAAAGAAGATACGTAGCATGACACTCTTAAAAGAATAAATATTTGAATAACTCTGAGGTAAAAAATACTCTATAAGCGAAAACAAATCTCATCTTAAGTAAGTAACTTAAGGACAATGTGCGAAAAATGTGAACACAAAATTAACTAAAGTGCAAACGGTGGCTGAATGTGCGTTTATAGTTGTTGTGGTTGTTGTTGTTGTTGTTGTTAATATAAATAAGTGAGAATCTGGTGAATGAGTACGTCAGCCGAAAAAAAGCTCCTTATAATTGAGCATCCCCAAAAAATCATTTTTTGTTTTATTTCGAAAGTTTATATATGTTTGTTTACATTTTCATGTAATTCGGCTGAGGGTTGTTTTGTTCAAGTTCATTGAAATTCATTTCAATTTTTTCATTTTTTTTTTTTTTTTTTTTTTTTTTTTTATTAACCATGTTGTTTCTATCCTGTTATTCTGGTCTTTTCCGCCCTCTTCCAACCCGGAGCGTGGAGAGTTAAAGCTTTTTATTTTATTTATTTAGTTACTTAGGCAGTCAGTCAGTCAGTCACGATTGAGACGTTACTCAAATAGAACACATTTTCTAAAGAAAACGAAAGTTTAATTCGATAAGGATTTTATAAAAATGACCGCCGGTTTTTTACAAACGCTGCAAACAATAACAACAACTAATCAAAATGGACACCAATCATCTAATCAGCAATTACCAGAACTTGATTACAGCAAACTATTCAGGTAAACTGTGAGATTTTTAATTTAAAAAAATTTATGCTAGAAATTAGTAGAAAAACTTTAAAAAAAAAAATGTATTTTAATTTTCACTTTACTGACAAAAAAAGAGAAAAAAGAAAAGAGAAAAGAAAGGGGGAAAAAATGGACAAAATATTGTCATGAAAAAAAAAAAAAAAGAAATGGTTAGCATTGACTTTTTCCGCTTCCGTTTCCGCTTTACAGAATTTGTAACATACTTCATTCTTTTTATCATTTTTATTGTCATTTTTACCGTTATTTGTTGTGTGTTGGTTTTCTTTTTAGTTGTTACGTTTTCACAGTTTTATTATTTTACTTTGTCAAGGTATTGCTCGAATAATTGTTTCAACCTGAACACCCATTAACGACTGTATGTGCTAAGACTGGCCAAAAAAAAAAAAAAATAATAAATATATATTCGCATATATATATATAGTATACACGTTACTTACTCGTCAGCATTTGTTTTCCCACCATCCGTTCTGAGTTATTTTCTTTATTTTCAATTGAGTTCTTTTTTTTTTTCATTTGCTTCCCCATCGTTTCATTGTCCTCTTTGGCCATAGGAACTTTAAAATTTGAAATCCCATTTACTCGGTGTAATGTTAGGTGGTCCGAAAAATCAATGCAACAGACAACTTTAGTTCACTTTACCGGCTCAGACTAACTATCTTCGATCCAAATCCGGTAGTTTTAGAACTTATTTTGCATATCTGTAGGGTTCATA